TTTGGCTGAATGTTTGGAAAATGACCGAGCTTTCAGTCGACATATCCATCTTTTCGATCTCGCATTTTCTACAAATTTTCTACAAACAATCTCATTCCGATCAGGTATTGCCTATTGGCTTGATCCAATTCATTTTGCCGACAACTGATTTATTGTGCCGACGGACACGGCATTGGGGGGGTGCGGCACCCCCTGCACCCCCCCTTAGCTACGCCCCTGATTAGAGTGGTGACATGCACGAGTTTATAGCGAAATAATTTATGCGTGCATGAAATTTAAACCCCATGGATGTGACGTAGGAAAAGCCTTGCAAAGGACTAACTGAGCTAATATAGCAACCAAGTTGTCATCATCAATTCATAATAATGTTAGCAGACAATGTCGCGCAAAGTTCAAATTGCGCCAAAATCTGGTCTGAAGGAAGAGTGCATTCTGACTTGATCGAACAAACTGGCAATATTTTGATGGCTCAGCTGCTTACTTAATGCGAAGTATTTTCAATCAACAAGGCCAACAAGGTTAGGTGAATAGTCAAAAAGCTAGGTGAGTAGGTGTCGCACCACGCAATTTATTATTTCTTCAGTATGCTAGATACGGATACCACGCATTTGACGCAAGGCTATCGCAACCGCGATTTGATTGTAAAAAATTCATTACAAATAATATTTATTTACGTACTATTTAAAACACGCGTAGGAGTGTTTTATCATATTTAAAATGGACTTTTATATAAAGAATAATACTGAAGATGAGTTTTATCAGGTATAATAAAGCGTCTTCACGTGACATATTATGGTTGACATGATTTTGCCAATGAGCTTATGAATTATTGAGTGTTTGGAATGACAGCACAGTGCGGAATGCAAATCATCTATTTCGCCTGGATTGCTGACATCTCACAGTGTGATAATCCAACTAATAATATATATGAAAAAATTTCTCAATTCTGCATGATTGGCTAAGAGTATGTACAAATTTTTCGAAATACAGTGCCAAAAAATGAAATACAGTGCAAAACTAAAAGAAATACAGTGCAAATTTCATTGATTATTTAGGCTTTTTGATAGCCAAAGATAGCCAATAAGATACAGCAATTCCAGCAGAAATAATACAAAAAAAAACACACACAAACATTTAGGAGTTTTTAGGAGTGTGTATACGCAGTCACTCGGAGTGACTGCATAATTTTTTCATGTATATTATTAATAAGTATAATAGTATTGTTTCTCGTGCAATTTGACTAAAAACATACACTCGTGAGTTTTTCAAAGACTTCAAATTGCACTTATCCTTCCGACTTGTGCAATATTTATAGTCTTTGAAAAACTCGTGCCATGTTTAATTTTTTTCCCAAATTGCACTCGAAATATACTATTATATATGGCTTATATACATATGGTGCAGGGGCGGATCTAGGGGTAGTCAGATTAGTCACGCGACTAACGTAAAAAAAAAGGCATATAAAAAAATTTGGACTAAGGTTTTTGAATTTTTTCCCAGCGCAAACACTTCTCTTCATTTCTGATCACGTAATCAAAACTCTATCACACTTCAGCATATAAACTTCGATCAGTTTTTGCACATTGAGCCAGCGATTGATTAGTCAAACGATAAGTCAAATAAGCGGTATTCAAATGAAAATTGACTATTCTGCGTTTTAGTTCATGTGATTTGATTGGTCAAATTTGCTCAGATTACACATTACAGACACGTTGATTGGTCAGACCTATTTTGACTAACGATTGCGAAATTTTGACTATTTTGACTAATTCTGCAAATAGATAACAGCCTCTGATTGGACAATTTGCGCAAAAGAGTTAAAGAACATCTCCTCTGATTGGCCTTCTAATCTTCAATTTGGAAGCATTGTGCACTTGGTAGCTTTATTCACAGCTTTATTGCAGTTTTGTACAATTTTACAAGCAATTTATTTACTATTATCGAAATGAACGACGTAGATTTCGAAAAGGTTAGATCGTTATTTGAAAGTGACGATAAGGAATGCTTACTGGTGTTCTGTGGAGAATATTTCAAGCAGATAAATTCGATGGATGCAAGAAAATTGTCTTGGCCGAAACATCTAGCTGAGATGTGTTGATTTCTCGAATTCTCGTCGTCTATTTCAGGAGATTATAAAGAGGTGTATGGCAATAAGGTAAAGTGGTTTGAATTTTGAACAACAAATCGTTGAATTGAACGTACGATTTGCATAATTGTGCGAGGAATAGGTCCAAAGTTTTATATACTGCATACATATTCATTATGTGTATAAAATTAAAACACCTCAAGTGGCAGAAATTTGATCTCAAATATTTGATCATATTGGATAAAAAATATTTATTGTGTGCATGCTTTATAGAGTATTGATTGACTGATAATAGCTCTGCAAATGTACTTTATAAAGATAATAATAATATAATCTTCGGTTATATTTTTAGATCTGATGCAACTGGCAATTGCTTGTATACTGTAGCTCTGTTTCCTAAGCATTGACAGGTACCAATGACCTAATTTGACCTTGATAGTTTAAATATTTACAGTGCAAGTGTGAAAGGTCTATTTCGGCACTTATAGGACACTAAAAGGCTATAAGCGAACTATGGTTGAAGACTACTTAAATTAAATGACTTGGCTTGGTCATGATGCAAATTCACCAGGAAATTATTCCTAACATATGTACTGTAGGAAACGTTATTGATAAATTTTCTGGAACATGTGGTTAAAGTTAAATATCTCGGCTTGCAAAAAGACCACTCTCGCCTCCAATAGCAATTAATAACCTCACTCTTGTACACAACACTGACATGAGAAAAAACTTCCTGGGGTTTGGATCTTCATCATCAACCAAACTTAGCCTTTCAAGATCACCACCTTCCCATAATCCCCCCCCCCCCCCCCCAAACATTCGGGCTTTGTAGACAAAAGCTGATGCCAAATATCGGGTCTGATCTCATTGGCTTGAGACAGGTCCATTGCATCTTGAACCAGTTAAATTTTTCAACAGACCAGGGCTTGAAATAACAACTGATCACCAATCAATAATAGGCAAGAAATTGCTTATGATCGGTGGAAAAGCAGGGTTTCCAACCTGAAAAAGCAGGGAAAGTCATGACTGCCGATCACCATGATCTGGAACTTTGGGAACATTATTTCAGGCCCTGACAGACAAACTCCATGTTGATAGTATGTGACTGTCTATATAGAGTATGTATAAGCATAGTATAGGAATAATAGAATTTACTGTGTTAAAAACCTTGTCAATTTAATATTTCAGATAACTAGATAAGTGAAGTAATAGTTATTTGTAATGAAATATTTTGTATTTGAATCGACTGTGATTAAAATATGTTTAAAATGCCAGGTAAAACAAACTTGTTTTCAATAAAAGTTGGCTTCCACTGAAGCTGCAGCTTTGAGGCACCATTTCACGTGTGATATTATACATTTTCATAGTGGACAGTATATAACAAGATGATGAATTTAATTAGATTAGACATAGGTTAGTAATAGCTAGGAGGACTGGAGAAGGGGCTAAAGGGTAAAACAAGGCAATTTCAGATCCATGAAATGTCCTGTATTGTCACCCATTTTTAACCAAGCTCCTTTTGCTGCGGTGTGAGGTGGAGTAATGGCACCTTAAAACCAGATTGCTCATTTTAGGTGGTGTTCATTGTTCATTTTATTGTCACCCATTTCTAAGTTCTAGCCAAACTCCTTTTGCTCTTGCAAAAGGTGTGAAGGCAAGCAATCTGGTTTTAAGGAGCCAGAAACCTGTGCTTGTGTTCAGCTTTTTGAAGGAGCTGTCCTTGTTGCCTTGTTGGATCATGGTTTACTATTTTTGATAAACGTGTT